ATCCCATAGACCCATCTTAACTTACAACGGTCCCACTTCTTCTTCCTTCCCTCCCTCCCTCTTTCCTTCCCTCGTTTCTTCTCCCCTTCCCTCCCTCCTTCCTTCCCTCCTTCCTTCCCTCCCTCCTTTCCTCCTTCTCTCCTTCCCTCCTTCCTTCCCTCCTTCCTTCCTTCCTTCCCTCCTTTCTTTTCTCCTTCTCTCCTTCCTTTCCCCCTTCCTTTCCTCCTTCCTTCCCCCCTTCCTTCTCTCCTACATTTTTTATTGGAAAACATGTTAAGGAAAGAAAAGAAGAGCATATGCTGGGGAAAAAAACAACTCCAGATTGGCGACAGGGAAGAGCATCCGGCCAGTAAGCATATAAATCCAATAAACAAAGAAACAAACACTCAGTTGCCCAGACTCCACCACACAAGGGATTATGGGGCTCATTAAAAGAGTGATGATGATTAAAAAAAAACAATTAAAAATCTGCTTTAAAAAAAAAAGAGGATGATGATGTGATAAAGCAAAGAAATATTGGAGTAGATTCTTGAAATGAATATAGATGAAACCGGAAATTTTTCTTCTGGGTTTAATGGAAAAACACTTGGGGGGAAAAAATTGGAACATGGATGCTCATATAGGTTGATGACAGCAAGATTACTTTATGTACAAAAATGGAAGGATTCCCACAATGGATGAACAGCTGCAAAAGCTGATGGGGGTTAGCAGAGAGGTTTAAATTTAGCGCTTTGGTCAAAAAAAAACAAAACACCACTCCACAATTTTGTTTCTCATTGGAAACCACTTCTGGACTTTGTGCTTGAGATAGGAAACAAAAAATATGAATCTTTGATTCTGGGTTTTACCAATCAGGTAGATCTGTTGGTATAGAAATGACTAGTCTATAAGGTAAAGGTTCCACTCCTTGAACGTATGTGCTAGCCGTTCCCGACTCTAGGGGGCGGTGCTCCTCTCTGTTTCAAAGCCGAAGAGCCAGCGCTGTCCGAAGACGTCTCCGTGGTCATGTGGCCGGCATGACTCAACACCGAAGGCGCACGGAACACTGGTCCCTTCCCACCAAAGGTGGTTCCTATTTTTTCTGCTTGCATTTTTTTACGTGCTTTTGAACTGCTAGGTTGGCAGAAGCTGGGACAAGTCACGGGAGCTCACTCCGTTACGCGGCGCTGGGGATTCGAGCCACCGAACTGCCGACCTTTCTGATCGACAAGCTCAGCATCTTAGCCCCTGAGCCACCGCATCCCAAGTCTATACTGTTACGTAAAAGTAAAAAACGGTTGAGGTTTGATGTTGTTCTACTGAATAAATCTTTTTCTCTTCCTTCCCCCCTCTCCTGCTCTTCCTATTATTTGCTTCTCGCATTTTTGCATTTTATATTATAAACTTATTAAAAAAAAGATCGATGTTTGAAAAATCAATCAATCAATATCAATCAATAATACGCTGAATGCATAGCAAGTGTAAACCTTTTCGTCTTTTACAGGGGCTGGAGTCTTTTTCCTCTCTTGCACGGAAGGCGAAAAAATCAGCTTTCTCTTCGACTGTATCGTTCACGGCATCTGTCCGACCAAAGGCTTTCGGCGGGCGCTAGCAGGTTAAGATGGGGGGAACCCCACCCCTCACCCCCCAGGAATGGGATGATAAGCTGTTCTGGCTGAGGCTTCCCAAGAGCATGAAGCAAACTCCTGGCCCTGGGGGGAAAAAGCCCTTTTATTAATTGGCTGTGAATTCTGCTCATTCCCATCAAGCCAAGTCTTTCAAGGGAGGATTTACGGTCACAGACCTTATCTTGCTTGGAGAGCTGCCAGGCTGAGATCTGCAGAACTTGGCAAGGAGTCTCGGAGAGTCACGAACCGATTAAGCGAATTAATGGTCTCCTGCAAACTCCACTCCCTTTTCGCCCCTCTTTTATTCCCTCTGGGAGGGGCCATTCATTGTCCACCTGTGGCCTTACTCCCAAGTCAACCCCTGTTCTTTAGCTATGTTCCCTTCATCTCTGCATACGCACACTGGGAACAGGCTCCAGCTGTTCATCTGCCTCTTCTGATCTCCGACTCCAAAGGCAACTGAGAACTGTTGGAGAAGCCCTGTCCCCCCTCTCTGCCTCTGACGCGGAGCCTTCCCCAGACTCCAGGACTGGCCCCTGTTCCTCCCCAACCTCCTTACTGTCTGAGTCCGCCGCCAGCTCCGCTGGCAGCTGGCGGGCTACAACAGGCCTGCCAGGCTGTCCTTCGAATGTCCGTTAGAATTCATCTCAGCCTCTCTCGTTGATCTCTCTCTCTCTCTCTCTCTTCCTTCTCGAAGACCCCAGTGTGAATCCCGCCTGCACGGAAGAAAGGGTGGCCTACGAGGCTTCGAAGTTGGAGAAGCGCCTCAGCTTGCTCTCCCACAGCGGCTGCCACGGCAGCGGAGGTAACGTCTCTCCCAGCCCTTCCTCCTCCGTCCTAGCAAATTTCCTTTCCAGCTGAGCCAGGGAATCCGAAATCACTTGGACTCTCTGGATCCTCCAGGGCCTGTGGGAGGGGGCGAGGAGAAGAAGGCTGGGCCTCAGATGCCAGGGTGGCCCCCCCCCGTCTGCTGTTTCCTGCACAGCCGGTGCCAAGTTCCAGGTCTTCTAACCCAGGCTTCCTTAGAAAGCAAGAAGTTGACTCTTGGTCCTGGCAAAACCCCCTTTTATTTACACGACTGTGAATTCCTTTCATTCACAGTCAGTAAGGCTTAGCAAACAGCCTTTCATAGGAATGTTTATCCACACGAACCTTATCTCGCTTGGAGAGCTGCCGGATAACCACTTTCCAAGCGCAGGGCATATCTATCTACCATCCATCCATCCATCCATCCATCTATCTATCATATGCTGAGAAAAAAAAAAACTCCAGACAGTCAGAGAATAGAGGTAGAAGATAGGGACAGATGATGGATCGAGGTAAATAGAGGAGATAGAAAGAGAGAGAGGATAGATTATAGAAGTAAATAGATGTGATAGATAGATACCCTTTCCCCCCGAAAATAAGACCTCCCCAGATAATAAGCCCAATCGAGCTTTTGAGCACATGCACTAAAATAAGCCCTCCCCGAAAATATTGCAACACAGCAGCAGCCATGAGGTGACCACGCTCGCCGCCTCCAGCACCTCCAGAATAATAAGGCCTCAGAATCCCACTTCTGCCTAGGTGATAACTGATGCTCCCCTGCCTGGCGAGGATTAGTGGCGTCCCTCTCGGATCCCAGACAGCTTCCACAGTTTAACCCTGTGTCCCTTCTTCCTTCAACCAGGGGATGACCGGAGCTTGTCCAGCGCATCCTCGGACACCAGCCACTCCGATGCCAGCATTGGGAGCAGATTGACTCTCTGGCCCGAGCAGTCATCCGCCGGCACTTCCCAGGAGTCTCGTGGACCGGTGGCGGCAGCGGTGGCGGCAGCAGCAGCTGCGGAGAGGCTGCAGTCAGACGGAGCCCAGGGGGCCAGCAAGCCGCCCCCCAGTCTCCTGCGCTCCAGGCAGCTGCAAGAGATTGGCCGCCAGAGCTCCTCCGACAGCGGGATAGCGACCGGCAGCCACTCCTCTTATTCGGGAAGCTTCTCGTCCTACACGGGGAGCCTGGACATTTCTCATGGAGATGAGTTTGGGTCCCTACTGAGCCTCTCGCTCAGCTTCCCTTCCGACCGGAATGTTTGCAGTTGCAGGAGTCCCGGCTCGGAGTACCAGGCCCCCAGTTGGCTCCGGCACAACTACGATACGCCCCGAAGTTTGCCCGCGGCGTCTACAACGGGCATCTTCGCTGCTGGTCCAGACGCCGGACTGTCCAAGGCCCAGAGCTCCAAAGGGGATGGGAAACGGCCGGCCCCCCATCTGGAGAGAGAAGCCGCTAACAGGCCAAGCCAGGATAAGGACTCGCAGGGCGTCTCCCCATCGGGAAGCATCAAAGGCTCCATCCCGGAGACACAGTTCAGGCCACCGGTTCAGGGACAGGACTGGAGAGGGCCCGAGATTGCTCCGTGCGTCTCCGGCGGTTCTTGCGAACTGTGCAGCTCTCCTTCCGAGATGAAAACAGCTCTCTTCCCATCTTGCCCAGTCTGTGGTGGCATACAGGTAAAACCATGACCAGCAGCTCATCCTGATCTTGCTTTGAATCTGTGCATAACTGGGGTGTGTATTTGAACCCAAAGCTTTCTTACACGTGATAAAAATGCCATTGCTATTCCGATTTCCAACATGGCTTTAAAGCGGGGGTTCCCATCCATAGACTTGTGGACCGGTACCTGTCAAAGGCATGCTAGAAACTGAGCCGCACAAAGAAGCAAATCTCCATCTGCGGGATGCAGGCAGCATGTGAAACCACACCGCCGCCGGTGCGTGGAAAATCCTCTCTCCACAGAACCAGTCCCTGGTGCCTAAAACATTGGGGGTGCTGTTTTAGAGTATCTTTTACCCTCAATTTCATTGAGGGCCACATCAGGGTTGTGGTTGACCTTGGGGGACCAGGGTGGGTATGGCCAACTGTGTGGGTGTGGCCAGCCTGCTCCTCAAACTGCTGGCATGTTAGCTCTTCGCACTGGGTAGATGGGGACTGCATGGGTGTGGCCAGCCTGCTCCTCAAACTGCTGGCAGCTCTTTGCACTGGGCATGGCTGACTGCATGGGCGTGGCCATCCTGCTCATCAAATTACTGGCATGTTAGCTCTTTGCACTGGGTAGACGGGACCGAAGTGATTTTTTCAATGCTGTTATAACTTGAAGGTCGCTAAGCGAATTGTTATAAGTCGAGGACTACCTGCATTTTAAGAGATCAATAGAAAGCAGTCAGTTTTAGTGCTCCTAGTTTTGAAAGAAGTGTATTTTAATACAACCTATTCTCTCTATGTGTGTGTTTGTGTGTTTTCAAAGGAGACATCAATTTTACCATCTCAAATGTTCGCACCCAATCTAGGTAAGAACCACGGATGGATTTGAATTTCCCACGCCATTCATGGCCGGAGAAAAAAAGTTCCCCATTCTAGTTCCGCTTGGTCACCCCTCCAGACGTATCCAGTTAAGTGATTGTCGTTTAAAAGTCAGTTGTCACCCTTGCAAGGTTGCCTACTCAAGAGGGCTAATCTTACCTTGATTGCAAAGTTGCACAAATTTTGTCGTTTCTCAAGGCGCAAAGAGAAAATACCTATTGTGAACTCCGCATAGGCATCAGGAAGGGCATCCGGCCAGTAAATGCTCACTCCACCCAGTGGCCTTGACCCCACCCTGAATTATGAGACTACAGGGTCATAAAAAAGAAAAAGAAAACCACACTCACGGGAAATTTCATAATTTCTCAAGGCGCAAAGAGTACATAACTATTGTGAACTCCACATAGGTGTCAGGAAGGGCATCTGGCCAGTAAACTCTCCCTTCTAGTCAG